GAGTGGTTCAAAACTGTTTTTTTTAAAGAAAGTTTTGAGTTAAATGTATTCACCGTAAAAGAGCAGGAGTGCTCCTGACGATACATGTTTTTTTCTTCCTCCGCGGTGCTTTGATCTTTTCTGCACGTTTCTGTAAATTGTTACAGATTCTGCTGCTGATTTTAGGCTCATCTGTCAGGGAGCTGCTGAAGAGGGGCAGGCAGAAAAAAACTGGTTTGACTTTGTTCTGTGAAGTCTCACCTGTTTAAAWCGGATGTTGTTCATCCTGGTTACACAGTTTACACAGCCTGCTGTGTTTTGTGTCGTTTATTGAAGGATAAGAAGGTACTTCAAACGGGTTTTAGGTTAATATAAGCTGATAATGAAAGGTTAAATAACTGCAGGTTTTATACTTAAAATGATTTGCCTTATTTGGATTATTTAAAAAAAGCTTTTTTATTATTTTAATAATCGGTGAGACTGAGCTGTTAAGGATTTTCATGTTGACTCTTGTAGTGTGTGTCAGCAAAATATCTCATGAACCAAAATATGTGTTATATCTGCACAAGAAGATTGGTTTTTTTTTTTTTTTTTTCTGTCTGTACACAGAGGATGGATTATTGTGAGTATCTCTTCATCTTACTGTAATCATCTCCTCTCACATTACCACCAGAGGACCACCTCAACTCAGACTTGTTTAGTGGGATTAAAACCACCCACCAGTGCAATGGGTTCTGAGGATCTAGTGACTGTCTCCCCAGTCTGTCTGAAGACATCAGACAATTTTTAGTGGGAAAAAAATGAAAGCAATGACCCACCAAAGTTTTTCCATGTTTTCACCTTAGTTCTGCTCTTATTCGCTCTTCCTCATTCAGTTTGTTTTCCAGTCTTTTCACTTCACGTTATCTTCTGTTTCCTTCTTTATTTTATCCCCTCTTTTTATTGCCTTTTAAATTAAAAACCTAGCATTCCTTTAAGTTTTAAATTTCTGTCAAGTGTTCGGTTAAGCTTCACTTTTTTATTTATTTATTGCCCTGAAACATTTTGTATGTACTATATGTCAAAGTTAGACTGCATTATATTATTTACTAATCAAAGCACTATTTGATGGAAAAAAAAAAAAAGAAGTAGAAATAGCATATATATTTTTAAGTACAACCTTTGCCTAACAAAACTTTCTGCTTGCAGGAGTTTACTATTTAATATGTGTGTTGGCTGACCTCTACTGGCCAAATGTAGAATTACACGATTTTAATCYATCCACATCAAATTCAACCTGTAGGGGGCAGCATTAGCTTGACAGAGAACAACCCAGGTTTATGCAGAAACTTCAAATCAAAAGTTACTTTTAATTGTTTTCTTCTGATTTATCCGATCATGAAATCTGTTCAAAATAAACACTTACTGCAGAAAAATGTCTCACTGACCTTTTCAATGTGTGTGTTTTTCACTGAGGGTGATATTTTAGTTTAAAGTTGTGAGAAACACTCGATAACATAACTTAAATACAGTATGTCCAAATAATAAGGAACATTGCGACATTTAAAGTGAAAATCCAAGAAGCAGCATACCTGCTTGGGGTCCTTGAAGGGTGCGTGTGGAGAAAAATGCCAAAAGTTTCAGCTTCAGGCTTCATTCCAGAGGACAAGCAATGTGCAGCTGTTGTTTGGGGGGGCATTAGGGGTTCAGGAATGTTGTAAAGCAGGACAGAAGTCAGGCTAATTCATTTACCCATCAGCTGATTAGAGCTGGGTCGAGCCATGCTTCTGACATGCAAAGAACTACACCACAGTAAAAACACTGAATGGGTCAAATATATTCATGTTATTAGAAAATAATAAATGGCAATATTCGTGCACGTCATTCAGTTTCATACTGGAACTTTTTGTTTTGTTTTAGTTCAATTGATTAAAGTTTAAACCTCTCGATTCGCGCTGTCATTCGTCTGAATGTTGTAGAAATGCGCCATCTAGCGCCGCGGAGGACGAAACACAGCAGTGCTGCGGTGCTGCGTTCACAACTCCCAGAAACGTCAAAGATCAAGGTTGTTGTGGAACAAAAAAATAATAATAAACTGCTGGTAATAATCTGCTTCATTCACTGTAGAAACAAATGTGAAAAACTAGTATAATTTTATTTTCATTTTATAGACTAAGACTAGCTGCTGGTTTCAGKTTTTACGTGTTATAAGTGTGGTAAAGTTAGGGATTACGAGCAGTTCATGAACGCACCATCAGAATCCCTGTATTTTTTTTAAGGGGGGTTACGTCATTTCAAACTTCTGGTCGCTCCACGAGTCAGCAGCGCGGTTATTCGCTGTCTGGCTTTTCTCCCGTCAAGTTGCGTCTCGTTTCTGACGGAGCTCTGAAGATTTAAGAAAAAAGAGGAGAAACTTCTGAAAACAAATTTCTGCTGGAAGAAGTTTAGTATTAGGATTTATCTACAGGAACCCGACGATTGGAGCCTGTCTTTCTGCTGGGGGAAAGGCGGCTGAACTTTTTTCTTCTCTTTCTTTCTTTTCTTTTCTTTTTCCCCTCAAAAATGAACCGGAGTTTTAACAAGTCGCAGCCTTTGCGCGCTGGTAATTGTAACGCCGTGGAAGTAAAAAGCAAGGTAAGTGGTTCAAAACTGTTTTTTTTAAAGAAAGTTTTGAGTTTAATGTATTCACCGTAAAAGAGCAGGAGTGCTCCTGACGATACATGTTTTTTT